ATAAAACTAAGATCCTTATCACTTAATCACTTTGCTGTACCTAAACATCATCAATAGCCAGGCTTTAAGACTGCTGACAATTGATTATAGAAAACAACTGAAAAAGAAAATAAGTCTTGAGTCAAGCTTTCTGCATAAGGAACTGCACAGAATACTGATGAACATCTTTTTTCAGACTGCGCCGACTGACACATAAAAACAACAGTAACAGAGAGCAAAATAAGTACGTTAAAGAGATTTCAAGTATGGCTCAAGCTGCTTACTGATTAACACTTCTGCATGTAACACTCCTCACAGACCTGTGCTGTTATTGTTCAAAAGTGAAACAAGGCTCTCTTGGCAAGTGGAGACAAATGATCCTCCCTGACCAAACTCACAGTTCTCACACAGCTTAGCAGCATTGGAGTTTCTTCTTCCAGAGCCTCTGACGTGGTGAAAAAAAAAAAAAAATCTGAATCCCAAAATTTAACGCCTGTAAACTATTTCTAGGATAAAAAGGAGCCTTTACAATCTCCAAAAGCAAACATGCTCCTCTTACACATGAACATTAGTTGACTTATTTTACTAGAAAAAATTTACAGTCACATTTGCAAGAAAATAGGTAATAAAATATGTAATGATTTTTCATGTCAAGGAGCAAACTTAACACTGCAGGAACCACAGAACTAGAAGATGACAGTGGTCTTTTCCATTGCCCTGGAAAGGAGAACAAAATGTGTCCATGCCAATCTGCACAATTCTTACCAACAAACATCCAGATTTGCTTCAAGACCCATCTCAAGTATTTTCATGTCAACTCTTCACAACTACAACACAGCCTTAGTCACATACCCACATGTTGACTACACTGGTTTTAGTAGAGCAGAGCAGTCGGGGTAGGACAAAAGGCCAGACTGGTTTCCAAGGCTTGAACTCCCCGCATGTGCAGTGTCATCTGCTACCAGGGACGGTGGGGGATGCAAGGAGATTGCTACGGCTCTCATGACTGAGAGCTGCTCACAGTTTCTAGAAAGCCTTGACAGACATACCAGCTTAAACCACTACCACATAAGGAAGACTAAAAGCCAGGCTGACAGGATGACTTGCCCCTCCCTGCGTTCACACCAGACACCTCCACCAGGTTAGAAGCACGGTGGCTGGAGGTGCAGAAGCTGCACCACCTGCACCAACAGCACCTCAGCATGGAATTTTGGTCACAGTGGAAGTTCACTACCAGCCAAATCCAAGCAGCTTTAAGATTAGAATATATTCTGACAAGATGGGAAAATCCAATCCTAACCTTAGAATGAACTGCCATAAGCATGTTAACTATGAACACAGAGACTAAGGATTCAACTCCCTTAGCACGACCACCAGGTGTGTGGTGCTTACGAATAATGCTGAGGAAAAATATGAGGTGTCCTCCCAATCTACTCCCACATCCACCTTCCACAACTACCTACACCAGCAGGGATACGTTTATCTTTAATACCTTTTGATGTACTTCAAAAACATGTTTTCATTTACTGAGTAAGAGAAACCACTACAGGTGTTGAATATACTGGTCCTTTCAGAAAACATGTTGTTTTCAGAAAGATTTGGGATTTTTATTATTACATGAGACATGAAAACACTCAGGATATGCCTGAAAATAGTCCAGCTCACACTCACAAGTCTGCACTGAGGAGTGAATAAGACAAGTAATAAGAACAGCTACTAGCTTTTCTATAAAACAACATATTATTCAGATATGTGTACAGAGCAGATATGCTGGTAATAAATCCTTAAATACATAACTTCTGGACATCACTACATTTAGATTACTCTTCTAATTTGAAGTATTTGAAATTTATGCACTTCAAAAAAAAAAAAAAAGACCCCAAAAAACTTCTTAATAGAACACTAAGTAGGAAGCTGGATTTTAAAAATCATATTATTTTTCAATATGTATAAGAGTTCTGTCAAAAGATCTGCACTGATGAGAGAAGTTGAAGACTAGTGCTGGCCAGGTTATGGTCTTGGGCCTTCCTTTACTGTTCTCACCCTTTTACCCTTTCTGCTCATTCCTGCCTGATGTCTCTCTAGCTCTCTTTCACCTCAGCAGATGTTGTCAGTAAAGATCTTTTCCTAGGCCAGAGTAAATCTAAAAGGTATGAACCAATTAGTCACAAAAAGTGGTCAAATACACATATCAAACAAAATGTCTATAGATTTCCAGTGCCAAATACATGTACTGTTATACCCGCATTTTGTATCTAATTTCTATGTGAAAATAGCTAATATGGATAGACAAAAGCGTACACTCCTAACAAAACAAACAAAAAAAATGTTCTGTACTAGCACATTTTTCTGTACTGAAAAAAATCCACTATTATAATGTTTTCTTCTTCATATGCACAGCATAGTACTAGACAGTATATTATACCATTAGTACCTCACAGGAGGTAAACTAACCGAAGTCAGAGATGTACACCAGTGCATGTTCAGACTCGCTTTTTTTCTCCATACAGTTACACAGCACAATGTGCTTCAGGTTCCCATTATGCACAAAAGCGTAACAGTTTCTCTTAATGTGATTTAGGTGGCATTCTTTCTAAAAATCATCTCCTTTCAAAGCTCTGTAACATTATACAAGATACAGAGGGTCTTCATGCAAAGTAAAGACTCTCTGCATGTTGTGGTTGCTGTAGATTATTACTGTTCTCTTTTTGTGTATTCAGCACCACCTCCTGTTAAAAAAAAAAAAAAAAAAAAAAAACAACAGAAAAACAAAAAACCTGTAAAAAACAAGGCACAAATGGGATTGACCCAAAATATTCTGTTCTTGCCTCCATCCCAAACTGAATCTGCCAAAGTTCTTTTTAAACTGTTTTATCCATTACTGAAAGAATGCAGGGATGCTATTCCAAAACCACCAAGTCATTTGTTGTGTATCTTGCTGCTTTTACTATCCCATGTGTTTCAAAGTAAAAAACAAACAAACAAACAAACAAACAAACAAAACAAAACAAAACAAAAACCACCAAACCAAACAAAAAAAAAACAGAAAACAATTTTGTATAGGGCAAACCTCTATAACTGATCCAGAGACAGCTGTAAAACTGTTGTTTTTGTGAAATGAATGTTTAACTAACATAAGTACCTACCAAAAGACATTTCCCTGCCACTAGAAAAGGACAAAATACAAAAGAGCTCCACAAGCATCAACTACATGAATGGTTTTATAAGGTTTACAGTCTTATTTACATACATGCTATGCTTTGTACAGAATAGCAAGATTCCAAGTCTTAGAAATTTATCTGGACATGACCAAGTGAGTGAGGCTTAGCTCTTCCATAGTGGGTACGTTCCCAGCATACATAATCTTCAACTCTGTCAGTGGTCCTGCTAATATCAAGAACTTTAAAGCATGAGGATTTACCCAATCCATTGAAACATAGAATCTTAAGTCCACAGTATCTTGTCTAATACTGTTTACACATAAACCTCCCCAATGCCTGAATTCAGATGAATTCCCTACTTGTTATTACATAAAATAGCAGACTCCTTTACATATGTGAGAGAGCATTGAGCCAAGAAGGAAGAGGGAAATGACAGCAGGTAGGAACAGAGAGGTCAGGCACAGCAGATCAAAATCCCCAAACTAAGGACATCAAACTAGGCGACGCTCTCTTCACCCTGTGATGGTGCTCAGCAACACATACTGAAGGTGGATTAGCAGTTACGTAGGCCAATTTCAGAGATCTCAGCATGGATACCCTGGTTTTAGGCACACAATTTTGAAGACAGCGGGAATCAGGCTCTACCTGTAGTGAAAGAGAGGTAGAAAAGTTCCTCCAGAGCTCATCATGCGAGGAGTCCACCTCTCTTCATGGTAGCAGGAGCTTAAAGTTATATGCTGTGAATTACACCCAGCACCGCCACCAAAGCAAGCACCAGACGGGTGATCTCAGAGGTCACCCAATGAATATGTATATGCATTACCACTGGTCTGACTCAGCAGAGCACTCAAACATGCAGTTAACTTTCAACTTGTTCTGAAATGATACTGGCTTCAAGCCTGTAAGCCTTGCTGAAGAGGGATGGACTTCCGAAGTTTTCAAAGGGAAGTAGTGAAGAAAAACAGAAAATGGAAAAAAGCAACGCACTTGGAATAAAATGGGAAGTCTCTGTCTCCTTTTCTGGACTTTCACTCATGTATAGACCCAAGCTTTTCTTGGTATTTTAAACCATTTAATTATATTCTATACATTAAATTATCATGTCTACGTACATTCAGTTTTGAAAGCGTGACACAAAATTCCTCCAACAAAGTACCCACATCTCCAACATGACCAGAGTGAAGAAGTACCAAAAACTTAAAGTTTTTACTTCAAAGACCCATGAGAAGACAGGCAAGTACTTTCTTATAGATAGGTAAATGTCTGATGCACTAGCACTCACGGAGGCCCAGCCTTCAAATTTTGTAAGGACTATGCATCATTATTTTTTACAGCATAAACAGTAGTTCTAAAAAATGGACTTCAAATCTATGGTCAAGACATGCTCCAAAGTGCTTTACAGCTTGTTCAGCCTAAGCACTCTAAAAAGCATGACTACACTGCTGCTTTCATCAGTAATCAGATGTTAGTCACCACTGGAAAGCTGTGTTCATGCATCCAAGACGGAGTATTTCTGATACCACTTACAAAGTTCTGGTGCCACAGAACATAAAATGACTATCTGGATTTGTTGAGTCAATAGGTTAGGTTAGCAAAGCAAAGTCAAACAACACCGTTTATAAAGAATCTTGGGACATCTGAGCAACTGCTGTGCAATACAAAGCCCCTGGGAAAAATCAAATAATGAGTTACTTTTTGTGGAAAGCAGCAAAACATTCTGTTTCAGTATCATTTCTTTTGTAGTAAAAGAGTGGCAAAAACCAGACTGGATTCCGTCTACTAAAACCAATACCATCTGGGTATGTGATACTGCAGAAGAAATGCTATTACTAATATCAATAGAAAAAAAAAGGCTCTTACCTTCATCTGTGCATGGGGAGAAAGCATTTCCAAATTCTTGCTGTTTTGGTTTTAAAGACCATGGGGCTGGCAGCTGTGGGGGCAGTGGGACTTGTAATAAAGGCTTCCCATTTGTAACCACCTGTTTCCTGGGACTTAGAGCAGGAAGGTGAATAGTACCGTCAATGATGCTGCTCTGAGGAGCAACCCCTCCTCCAAGGGGCATCTTTAAGTGTAGGCTGGCAGACAAGTTTCCAATTCCTGGGCTTGGGGTGCTGCTAGTTGAAGATGGGCAGGTTGTTCCTGCATAAACTCTGATAGGTGGGATCTGCTGTCCACTGGTCATCTTAGGTCCATGAGGAACACCTGTTGTCCGATGGCTCATACTGCATGACCTCCCATTCATTTTTAAGAAGTTAATATAAGTGTGTTTTTACAGACCCACAGCTATGACTGATACCAGTCCAAAGTCAGTAAGTAATCCATTGTGTATTATGCCTGTTTAAAAAATACATAAAAAAAAAAAATATATTGTAGTAAATAATACATGAAAGAGGACTGAACATGGCTGTTAATTTTGTGACATTACCGGTTACAATAAACAAAGTACAATCACTATATGATCTGTCAGGGAGAAAGAACAAAGCCAAGCAATGACATAGAGCTCTAACACAGAGAAAACCTGCCTCTTCCAAAGCTCAAGTTTGCAATATGGTCAGTCGCCTTCACATTAGCTAAACCAGCCATGAAATTAAGTGAATACTGACCAAGTGCAAGAAGGCAGCCAGGAGCAAAAAGACTCTCTGATAGGGAGTTGTCATTAGGATGAACACGGCTATTGCCCCTTTTCTGCCACCTACTCAGTCTATTATTTAAAATGGTGCTGAAAAGCACACACAGTAGGCCAGCACTATGCAGATACAGACAAAACAAAAAGAGATACCAGTTCACGTTCTAAAGTATGTACTTACAAGGAAATTAAGCAAAACCACTGAAATGCCAATATGGTCCTTCAAACACTGTGGCACTTCGCAATAGAAAAGTATTGCAAGAAAGCACAGCACAGAAGTATTCATAAACATAACTACAATCACTTCAAAGGTGGATACATATTGTAACCATATAGATATGCCATAATTTAAATGTAATCATACAGCAGCAAGTTTTCAATTATATAATAGAAATTATACCAATAATTTTTGAACTCTGACTTTTTGTCACTTTTGTTTTCCTGTTATTTAAATCTTAGAAGACAAGACTGGTAAGGAGTTTGAGAGATCATCTCAAACACAACCTACCCCAATGCAAAATCAACTAGACCTAAACATTTCCTGACATAAAAAAGATTTGTAGAAAAAAGCTGCACATGTCAGTGTAAATCACTAGGCTTAAGATATCACACAGATGGTGTAATTTCAGCCGTAACTCAGCTGAACAGCACATGCCCAACTTTCATCATTAGGTTCATATGTTTAACATTAAGCACATGTTCAAGTAGTTTGTTCAGTCATAGACTCAGTGCCTACTTAACTTGTTCAGACAAACAAATTAAGTTGACAGAAATAAAACTGAAGTATGGCTTCAATTTTTGTTTTCATTCACATATACATTAAGGTTTTAATTAAGTATTATGATCTTGCTGCAGCAAAACACTGAACGGTAACTTTTACCTTCAGCACATGAGATTTTCAACACTGAAGCCAATAAGATGATAACCAGTATGTTCATAAATTAATTTCATGTAAAACCTTCATACTTAACTCTTCACTTACTATGATTCTGCAATGTTTCAATTGTCTCCATCTGTGAACTGTCAAAAACACCTCAAAGAAAACATCTCTGTTTATTTTACAAAACTGCATTCATAGCACACTTCCAGATTAGAGTAAAAGCCATCTAAGTACCTATATAGATACATAGACATAGATATTCACACACACTCTCCAGTTAAAACTCACTAATTATGAAGGGCCTAAGCATATCATCTTCAAAGGCAAGAGCAAAATCCTTACTGACATTAGTAAGAGAGATACACCCTAACCACACTTAAATGGTCAGAAAAGATTTATTCTACATACTATTTTTCATTGTGACATTGTTATATTATAGGAATAAAAATTGTAAAGCACACCAATTAAAAACAGTATTATTTATTTTCATGCCTGGCTGAAGCATAAATCACTCTCTGCAATTCAGCCAAGGACAGGGAGAGCTGAATGTTCTTAAATTCTCAGTTTGTTTTAAAGGCAGAATGTACCTTGTCCTAACACAGGTGACTAGATCCTTATAAAAGAACATACAAAAAAAGGCAGTTGTTTTGCTGGCAAGGCTGTACACCATGTCACTATAAACTGACTACAAATAAAAATCATTCTTGCCTGTAATTCTTGTCTGCAATTTTAACTACATTAGAAAAGTACTAATATAATCAAGAAAAGTTTATACAAGACAAATGCATTAGCTTTACTCAACAAAAGCCCCTTTAATCAACAGAAGAGTATTTCTACATAGCCTACAGAGACCTACCAGCCCTATAAAATCCAGGTCAATATATAATTTGTGCTGTTAGTAGGTTGGTCTCCTTTGCTATTCTTCTCCAGTAATATTATATCTTCCAATGAGTAACAGTGTTCTATGTTATCACTGTCTTAATATATCACTGACTACTGCTGGTTTTTTTACACTTGAAGAAAGGCCTCTGGGCTTGTAGTTTCTTTCCTCATGCTAGTAAGCTGTATTTTGAATAAAATGACCTGAAAGTACAAACAAAACAACCTTTTTTATGAAAGCAGAAACAAGTTAAGTATTTTTTCTACATTTTTTTCTCTAGTTTCCTCCTGATTCGATCATGAAAATGTGTAACATTATGTTAACATGCAGATTAGTTAATATGCATATCAGTTAAATTAACCTTTCTTTAAAATACGAAAGCACCTTGGAGAGAATAACTTTTCCCACCTTTTTAAATTATTTTGTGGTATTTTCAATATTACTTACTTGTTCATGAGTGGATTTTCATTAATTAGATTCATTTAGTGTCAACTTCCATCATGATGTCAGGACCTTCTGATATCAAGGTCAGAGTGGCCAAACTGATTCAAACCAAAACAATGAATTACCTAGAACTGCATTAAAGCATATATAACTAACGAAATGCCAACTGGACATGAATTATATTTATAAATGTATAACTGACTTTTGCATCAGATACATAAATAGCTCTGGATTATAGCTACCTGTAACCGTAAAAAGACATGATGAATTTCTAACCAAAGTGATTTTGGAAATTGTAGGAATACAGCACTGAATACAACCTCTTATTTAAAAATAAGCTTAGAAATCTTGAATGGGGTTGAAGGTTAATGTAATAAATTGAAACACCAAAAACCCGCCAAAAATAATACTATCCTGAGACTGAATGACTGTGCTGGTGTGTTTTGTTTTGGTTTGGTTTTTTTTGTTGCACCAAAAGAACACAAGCACTTTCTATGTTTTAATGAAGTATTTCTCTCCATCAGTGAGATACTGTAATGACCTTTTTATACTCCCATGGATGTTAAAGGAAATACAATTATGTCCACTGCTTCTAAAGTCTCTCTTTTTTTAAACTGACACTAGCCAAAGCTCTATGACTCTGCATCTATCAATAACAGCATGACAACATAATTACTCAAAATCCATAACAATGATTCATAAATTCACTTTCAGAAAGCCATGTAGTAAAATTTAAATTCAAACTGAAGCCCTGGAAAATCCGAACACTAATCCTTCAGAAAGCAAAACAAAAGAAGAATTCACAAATCTGTGCCTGCAGCACAGTATGCCATATAGTCTGCTTTTACAGTGCAGTTTTGAGAAGTAATCAGAGTTGGCTTACTGCTTCATCCACTGAAATAAGAGGTAAGATACATTTCAACTTCAATAAAATCTGAATTACTCCAATGCAGAGATCAGTTTAAGGCACTGTAATAAATCCAGCTCAGGAGACACTTTCACAAAAGTAACTATCAGACAGTGGCACTTCGTGCACTGGGTAGCAAGCACTATCCCAAACCAAAGAAGACTGAAAGACAAAGCACTGAACAGTCCCTCATTTCTGTTCTTCCACTGGAGACAGCTCACCTCCACAGCAGCTACCATACACTGCGGAAAGCAGACATGAACTGTAACTCCCTCCCTTGGGACTGTGCGCTCCAAGACTGTGAGTGCCTTCCCTAGTCCCCACCACGACCAGGGACAGCCAAGCCTCTCTCCATGTTCCCCTCCACAAGCTCCTTGGCACAAGTCCAGGGCTGAGCTACCACAAGGCTACCCAAAGGGGCTACCTCCACCTTGAGCTCTGCTCTCCCCTGCCTCGTGGGGCCATGGCATCTGCAGCATCACCTGTCAGTGGCACCACGGTGAACTACTCAGAAGTCACTGCCTCCCCTGACATCACATCCCTGATGGGTCAGTATGGGTGGACTCGAGGACTGGGATGGATAGCGGAAAAGGAGAGCCACCAAAAGCTATAGGGATGCCTCACCTCAGCCTCACTGACCACTCACTGTCTCCAGAAACAGGGCCCTGGAGGCTCCTGAGGTTTTTGTGTCTCACAGCTGCTTGTGACAAGGACACAACCTAACGTAGATGTAAGCCACCAATTTAACAACTCGTTTTCTAAAATGCACAGACACACACATAGGATGTGCTGGTATTACAGCTTTTGCACAGCTATCTGGATGTAGCTTACAGACCAAGGCATGGTAATAAATTCTTGGAAAGAAAAACCACACAGATTTAACAAGGGAAAAAAAAAATAGCTGAGAGCTTACACTTAGGCTTGGAACAATACATACATTAAGAATCACGGCTGCAATGAAGGAAGACAATGTGGCTTCAAAACTGAAACTACAAAATAAGTTTTCCACTCAATTTATAGAGAATCTCTTCCCCACCTTCCATGTCAGCCAGCATCTCAGAAGTCATGCACGACTGAGAATAATAAATACCTCACACTAGCATCCACTGTTTTGGTCATTTGTATCCATTTCTTGACAACTATACTCTTGCGCTACCACAGGGGGCTTCATTCCAAAGTGCAGTACTCGGATAATATCACATTTTTCTTAAGCCCAGGTGCTCAGAGAAGGAAAACTATAAAAGGGTCACACAATCTGAGAGCTTCTAATTCTCAAACGTCAACAGAATGCCTTCTTGCTACATCAATGAGCAAGACAAATGAAAGCTGAAGAAGGTCCTCTTCAGCACTGTAAGACAACCAGCCCCCAAACATGACTGACTTTCTCAGACTTAACGTAATGAAATATACTAATTACTTATTACTTGCATCACTATAATTCCTAGGAAGATTAGTCACAGAAAGGAATGCCTTTGTGCAAGGGACTGTACAAACACAGAGCAGAGCACAATCACCAATACTGCTGCAACTGCCGTCAAAAGGGCAGCCGTTATCAGTGGACAGGTTAACATATATCCAAGTGTAGTTGGGACCAAGCATTTTTACCATTCTGCCAGAAAAATCTTCTCAGGTTTCTACTATGATAATTAAGATCTCCCCAGTTTTTTCTCTATTAGGTCCTTAAGTGTCAGAGCTGTGCTACTGCAAGGGGTTGCTGTAACAGAATAGCATGAGCTTTCCATGAGTAACGTTATTATCGCCAGGGCTAGCTACAAACTTCAGACAAGCTGCTTGAAAAACCCAATACAAATCTGGCAGTACGGAGAACCAGTCAGAGGCATGCTTTCTGACATGCTGTCAATAGCTGCAGCATCCTTACCCAGTAACCAAGGGCTCCTGCAAACCCTGACTTGTGCATGTTTTGCCCACACTGTTGCCCTGCTAGCTTTGCCTATAATGCCTGTGGACTTTCCAGGAGTGCAGCCACAACCGCTAACGCTGCAGTGTCAGCAATGGTGAGAGCTTCAGCGCAAGCCGGGCATGGGAAACCACCACCAGTGTCCTCATGCAAGCCAGTGGCAATGCAGAGGCAGAGGAACGGGGCCACAGGCACCAGCCCTGCCCTGGAGCCCTCACTGTGACCACCACTTGTGGGGCGGTGAGGGCAACCACCACAGACTGCGGGGCAGATGGCCCAGGAGATACCTACCACCACCCTTATCGCACCCACGGCTCATCCCGCGGACCTGGCAGCTAAAGCACTAGCGGCTTAGCCAGGGCCAAAAGCTAACTAGGGTCTCAGGAGAGGAGGGCACAGCTGAAAGCCATGACTTTCAAGTCTGTTAAATTTAAGAGGCTGGAGTTACCGGCAACACACAGGCCCGCAGATGAGGCAGAGATGTCATTTCAGTGGGCACGACACGTCTGTTTTTTTGAGCGCTGGGACGCTGCCTGGATGACGGCAAGCACCGGGCAATACACCACTCCGCCTCCGGGCCATGGGCCTCCGCGGGGTGCGCATCGCTCTGGCCGCACCCCCGGCCCCCCCCGGGCCCTCCGCCCGCGCTGCCCAAACTGCCCGCCGCCCTGTCCTCCCCTCCGTCCCCCGCGCCGCCCTCCGCGCTGCTCACCCCGCCTGCGCTGCCCTCCGCGCTGCTCCGCGCTGACCCGCCGTGCTCCCGCCGCCGGAGGAGCAGCCGGCGGGGTAGGCTCTCCTCCCCTGCGGGTACCTATCTCCGCTTATTCATCAGCGGGATGACAAATCTCCCGGACGGGTGTCTGCCCCGTCCTCCCAGACAGCGCTGCGTCCTCATCTCCGCGGCAGGCTTGTCGGCGAGGTGAGTAACTGCGAAGTAACTTCACCACAAGAGGGTTTGTTTTGCTTTTTCCTCCCGCCTCCCCCAATCCCCCCACCCTTCCGCCGGCTCTGGCACGGAGGCCGGGAGCCGCCGACTCGCCCTATCCCCGCCCGAGCCGCCGGCGGGGTGCACCGGGCAGCTCACGGGAGCGGAGGGGCCGGGACTCGCCTCACCCCCCCGCCTCTCCGCAGGGCAGCCGGGCCGGGGCGCGGAGCTTCCACAGACGCCCCACGACACTCACCCCCCCCGCGTCCCCCCGCCGCCGGCAGCCCGCAGCTCCGCGCAGAGCCCTGCCGGGTCCCCCCCGGGCCGCTCCGCGCCGCGCAGCGCCGGGCCGTGCCCCGCCGCCGTCATGTGCCCGCTGGCCCCGCCGTTAACCCCTGCCACTGCCGGGTTACCCCGGCCCCGCCGCCGGCGGGCCCCGCCGGGCTGCCTTGCTCTGTGGGGCTGGGGCGGGCCTGCGTGAGGGGGAAGGCTCTGGGGAAGCTGGGGGGACTGGGGATTGCGCAGGCGGTGGAGGGGGGCTTGGTGCTGAGGTTCTGTAGGGGCTGGGAGGTGCCTGGGAGGAAGCTGGGGGCAGGGGGGCGCACAGATGCTGGAGATTGGGGTTGGGGGGACTGGGGGATTCCCCCGGAGCCGGGAGGTGGTTGCACTGGGGACCCCGTAGGAGCGGGGCGGGAGCGGGGTGGGGGGTGCGGGAGCGGGTCTCGGAGATACACGGGGGCTGGAAGGGGAACGTTCAGGAGCTCTCCAAGGGCTGCCGGCTAGCTGGAGGGGAGCCTGGGGGCTGCATGGGGGATTGTACGGAGGGTGAAGGGGGCTGTAAGGGGGCCTGCATGGGACCTGTCTGCGGGGTGTCCGGGAAGCTCAGTGGTAGGGCAGAGGAGCCGGTAGGGCTGCGGCAAGAGGGACCGGTACCGTAGGGGTGGGAAAGAGCATGAAGGGGCTTGATGCCTGGTGGCACTTTCCTGTGCCCATCTTAGAAATGTGGTATGAAGGCAAGAGCTCTTTTCTTTCACAAGGTGGGGATCCTGCTTGCAAATACCAGAGGACTAGAAATGGGATAAAGAAGAGTTGGAAGAAAAATATTCAGGCAGATCGGCTGTCTCCGTCCCCTCACCCAGAAAGGCTGGGGATATTTAGCCCCCAGGCTGATATTCTGCCTCTTGCAGAAACAGTTGGAGCCTAGAGGTGTGTGTGTGCCACGAACAGTACCCATTGCTCAGGTGGAGTCTCCCGCACATGGAGGGCATGGTCAAGTAATGGAAACATGTTAGTTGTTTCAGTTTGGGTCAGTTTTATTCTGCTCTGCTGTAACTGGGAAATTGAGAGCGCAGATGAGGTAATGATAAACAACTGGAAAGCCAGGCTCAGAGTGCATTAAACTAAACTGTCCTATTACTGTAATGGTCATGAGCATGCAGACCTTGTGGTGGGGCACCCTGTCTGCAGAGAAGACTCCAAGCAGGGAAGCCCACCTGCATGTGTGGGCTCTGGAGGAGTGCAGCAGGCTCAGCCCAGCAATTAGAAAAGGTGTTAATCCCAGTTCTTCAAGAATGAGAGTGGCACCCTGGCTGTCCTCATTACTTCTCCCAAGGTTAAGGGGAGCCTGTATCCCTGCCGCACTGCTGGAGCTGTTAGGTGGAGGGTTGAGGAGGGGGGATACATCATAGTCTACCTAGGTCACTGGTCTCAAGGCCAGCCATGATCTCCTCAGCCATATAAGCTCTTCTGAGCTAAAACCATTCACTCATCAAATTAACGTGATTGAGAAGTTGATAAGAAGACAACATTGTGTGATCTTTACACACCTGGAAAACACAATGGAGATGTTGAGGCTTCAGGCTTTTTTGTAACGTTACATTGCTTTCCAGTCTTTTTGTTTCTAAGTGTATGGATGCTTAGGCAGTGAGTGACTTCTTAGTAAAATTACTAGATATAACGTATTTAAACCAGAAGTATTTTTAAGCTGTGCCTCACTTTAAAAAGTGTATTAAAAGAACAGACAATGGAAGAAGGGGCCTTTACTATGTGAAAGCACAGAATTTACTTGTGAGCCCCAATGAATTGAAGTACACTTTTTTTTTTTTTTTTTACTGTCTCTTTCTAGCCTGATTCTGGTTGCATGATGCCATTGGATTCATTGTCCAAAAGAGTGTTAATACTAAGCATGCTGGAAAAGACACCTGCTTATATAAATCCTTGTCTCATTTGTCCTAGAAAAAGACCATTTTTCTGAGTGAGCCCTGAAAGGAGATGATGAGTGGCTAAAGATGTCTGAAAACAGTTCATTGAATGAGGAAAGAGAAACTGAATGAAGAGATTATTTATTTTGTCTACTGGTATTTTTGGAGTAAGGGAATGATTCTCTGGGCAGTGAAGCATAATTTATGGAGAGTCAAATTATTTCCGTCAGAGGCCAGAGGAGAGCCATTGTAACAGAGGGAGTAGAGAACAAGGAACATGACAACCTGAGGATACACCTGGTTTTAGTTTTCCTCATCTCGCTCCTGTATACCACCAGCATCAGTATTGAGTTCTTAGGAGAGAAAACTAGGTAGAAATATTATAAGACAATTAATTTTGTTGCATTTATGTAGCAAGACTTAAAAAATGTTTTGGATTCTAATACCTTGGAAATGGTGGTAGTCAGTTTAACTGGAGTTCAAGATCACCTTTGAAAATAAAGAGAATCCAAGAGAGTAGCTAGAATACAATGATATTTGTTTAGAGAAAATTAACAGAACTAGAAGGGTTTGCCTCTTGATGACTCAGACATACTGGCTAGAATGAACCTAATGAACGTTCACTTCTCAGATACAAACAGATACACAGAAGCTTTTTCAAGACGTTTTTGTGGCAGCTGATAAAAAAAAATCTTGCTAACCATTTCAGTCTAATTTTTTAATTTTTCCTCAGATCTTCCTTTTCATATCTATTCTGTTTTCATAGTTACTGTGTCACTGAGAAAAATGTTTTCAGTACTTAAAGTGACGTAACAGAACAAAAAAAGTAATCACTGAATTGCATCTTGAATAATATAATGTATAACAGGCATCTTGTACTGACATTAATATAATCAAATATCATACAGTTGGGTTTTCCTGGTATCGTGGTTTGAGCCTGGTCGGCAACCAACCACCACAGCTGGTCACCCTCCCTTCCCCCTCCCTGCCTGGGAATGGGAGAGGGAATTAAAGGGGTGAAGGGAGACTCGCAGGCTGAGATAGGAACAGTTTAATAATGTCAATAAAATGAGAACAATGACGAAGATAGAGAAAAAAAGAAATATATAAACAGGCAACGTACAGCGTAATTGCTCACCACCCGCTGACCAATCCCCATCCTGTTCCCGGCCAGCGACCCCGAGATACCAAGATCCCACAATCGCAATCCTGGAAGCAAGAGAGAGAGAGAGCGCCCCTTCCCGACCACCCCTCCTCTATATAGTGAGCATGACGTTCCATGATATGGAATATTTCACTGGCCAGTTTGGGTCTGGTGCTCTGGCCGTGCTCCCTCCCTGCTCCCTGTGCCCTTGCGCACGGGCAGGACATGGGGACTCGGAGAGTCCTTGAAGTCTTGGTAGCAGCTGAAAACACCAGTGTGCTATCAGCATTCTTCTCATACCAAACCCAGAGCTAAATCCAAAACACAGCACTCATCTAGTCCCTGAAAAGGAATATTAACTCTATTTCAGCCCAAACCAAGACACCTGGTTTAGCTGCAAAATCAGGTCTTGCACCTCCTCATCTCAGCTTAGATGGCCTCCCTGGCAAGGAGCTCTTCAAGGGTGCTCTGTTGCCCATCATCCGTGGTCCCGCGTCTCAGAGCTGATATCTATTTCTGTTTAGTAGGAAGGTGCAGCAGAACAGGTGGTATCTGAAGATCAGAGGTCTGGAGGAGCAAAATAGATATTGTAGGCATGAGTTCTGAGGTCAAGTCATTTTTCTTCATCTTTCCAATCACAAGTCACAGGTTGCATTTACCTGCTTCTCACATGAGACCAAGGAGAGCTGTCTGACATCATGACACGATAGCACTACAGACCATTTCTATGTAATTCTGTTTCCTATTTCTGTATCCAGATTTCATAATTAATACTTTTGTAGTGGGTTTTACTTGCTACACAGGAGACAAGGCAACATATTTCTCCTCCCCTTTGCAATACACTAACACTATGAAGAGCATATTGCTAAAATTTCCAAAGCTCTTACCAGCATCTAGAGTTCCTTACAACAAATCATTTCCTTTCCTTGCAGCTTCAGCAACTCACCTCGCAGTGTGATATGAAGAGATGTATAAAGACCATTCCATTCACATTTTTAAATGTCGGCTGGCAGGTGGAGGGAAAGATGTCTGTGGAATAAATATTACCTCCTCAAAGAAACAGAATTTGATTCTCCAGTATTCTTACACAGACAGAACAGGTGCTGGTAAACCGGATTCATTTAACTAAAATGTAGACCAATTATATATGGTACAAATATATGTGCAGAACTGTTTCAGGGGAATGCATTCACTTTGTATAACAACATGTGGTGATATCATGTAACTGTTTAAGGTCAGAAACTAAAACCATTACGTGAAAATTAATTCCAGGGGAGTTCTGGTTTCCTAGGATGTCCCTGAAGAAGCTGCAACTGAGGCTGATGAGTGGGATTACAGCTGGAGTACTGTTTCCAGCTCTGGAGCCCCTGACATAAGATGGACATGGACCTGCTTGAGTGGGTTCAGAGGAGGCCGCGAAGATGATCAGGGGGCTGGAGCACCTCCCATAGGAGGATAGGCTGAGAGAGTTGGGTTGTTCAGCCTGGAGAAGAGAAGGCTCAGGGGAGACCTTATAGTGGCCTGCCAGTACTTCAAGGGGGCTACAGGAAAGGTGGGGAGGGTAGTGATATAAGGAGGGGTAACAGTTTTAAACTGAAAGAGGGCGCGTTTAGATTAGATATAAGGAAAAAATTATTTCCTGTGAGGGTGGTGAGGCACAGGTTGCCCCGAGAAGCTGTGGCTGCCCCCTCCCTGGAAGGGTTCAAGGCCAGGTTGGACGGGGCTTTGAGCAACCTGGTCTAGTGGAGGGTGTCTCTGCCCTTGGCAGGGGGGTTGGAACTAGATGACGTTTAAGGTCCCTTCCAACCCAAACCATTCTATGATTCTGTGACTATGAATTAGTTTTCCAAGTCTCATAAAAAATTAATCAGGGATAAGACTTAATAGCGTCAATGCAGTTTAACTATTATAGGCAGATATCAATAGTTAACTGGCACTTTTCACTAGGTATTTCATACACTGGGATTCAGGTCACAAGGTGCAAACATCACGTACATCAACAAATAGGTGAAGACAACAGAGGGACCACATTTGCCTGAGAACTTCAGTCTTTGTGCCTGAATATAATTTGAAGTCAAACTGAGTTTGGTGTGGATCAAATTATAGTAAACCAAACACGCCTAATTTCCATTCAGAGAGTATAAGATATTTAAGTATCAAGAGCTGGCATTCTTTCCATTCCCTAGTATCTACTGATGACTGACACTGCTAGAAATAGCATTATAGGTAGGACGCTAACTGATGGTGAAGTAAGAATCAAAGAAGGAAATTTCCCACAGTCCACCTAGAAACCTTAGAAGAATATGCTGTGATAAAGTGGAGCTACTGTTTATTTGTCCTACAGCAAGATCTTCTGATATTAATAATTATTTCTTTTGTAGGCCCCAGCAATTTAAGATTGAACAGCTGATAAGTGCAAGGTTGAAACTCACTTTTCTTGTTTGGGAGAGTAAGCATTTTATTAATCACTTCTGTGGTATGCACATACCACTGCAATTTTTATTCTATGCTTGTTTCTGTACCTACTCACTTCCACACAGATTTTTAATGTTGAATTAGACTTCATAACCTGTAATAGATACCTAATGTATGCATTTAGCTTTCATCACTATAGTATCTTAGGATTTCCACCCAAGGAACTGATGAAGTTCAGAAAATACTGGTGGAACACACACAAAAAAGTAGGTCCTTAATCAATCAGCTGTTGAACGATTAACCTCTAGCCTGCAACTCCCACATGCATGATTATTTATGGAGAGATCTGTTGCCTATTTCCAGGTAATGGGCTTCCCATGGCAATACTATACATGAAACAACAGTAGCTTCATGGACATGCCTCTGCCAAATCCTTTTCTGAATTCTATGTCATCTTTGGGAATAGGCACACTGACTGTTGGTGGCAGCCCCAGACCTTCAGAAGTCTGCCTGCTGACAGCAGCAGAATGTTCTGTGCTCCTTTCACACTGTCTAAGATATGTCTAGTCTGACTGTACCCATGTAGCATGGATTTTGTCTCAAGCCATAGAAAGGACAACAAGAATGGGCTGTCAATTCAGTAAACTGATTTGAGATGACTGGTCAGCTTTCCTGTAATTGGATACAGTAGGAGAGGAAGATGTGTGCCACATGTAGGTCAGGACAATTAGTGATACTGTATCATCCAATCTTGTAGATGAAACATTTAAAACTTGTAAAATTAAAATTTTTGGTGATTTAGGGGCAGGGAGAGGTTATCCTCACTATAAATAAATATTGTTTCTTAGGCTTGTCCAATTAATGTTAAAACTTAAGTAAAAAGTGTCTTGACTTTGTACTTTCTACCATGTCTTTAATAAAATCACCCTGACTCCTTATTTTCGTTGTTTACTGTGTGTCCATAATGGGAAGATGTGCAATTTAAATTAAAAACAAAAAAAAAAAAAACAAAAAAAAAAAAAAAAACAAAAAAAAAAAACAAAAACAAACCCAGTGTGAATAATTTGATGCTACTCTTCCTTTGTTCAATTTTACATGCAATTCATTCTGATAGATTGGCAGTCTAACTTTTCCCTAGGATCATGTATTTCATTGTGAGAATTTGTTTCTGTTATGTCTTCTGCTTCTGCACAGTTGAATATACTTTGTAACAGAGTATTTCCCTACTTGGGGTCAGCTAAAGACTCCTATAGTCTTTACTGAAGTTAAATCAAGGTCCAGATATAGGGCTGGTCACATAGTGTTCTGGGAAGTTTGTGTTTAGACGTATGTTACAAATAAGAAAGATATCTACGTACTAGCCAAGAGTCAAAATACTAACTTTCCTGTCTTAATTCTCACAACAGTACACTCATATTTCCAGCCCTGTTCATATAACTGTATACACATATCTTCACATTTAATTAGGTCTATGAGTGTAAGAATCTTACAGTACAGGGATATAGTGGATTAGAAACTCAGATCCTGAGTCTTGCCTTGATTTTGTGTAAAGAAACAGTAACAACTTCTCTCTTTTTATCCATTTGTAAAATTGATATAAAACCAGCCGTGGTGATCTAGTACTACAATATTTATTTAATTCCATTTGAGTTTTGTATTCTAAACTGTAATAGTGTACATTGCACACAAAAAACGTGTCTGTTGCTAATTGCCTTTCATACTACTTCATTCTTGTTAAAAGGACCCTAAACAGAACAGAATAAAACCAGGTCACATGCTCCACTCTTACTATGTGTCTCAGAAATGATCAATACCCCACAAATGCACCTAAATGTTTTTGCAAGCTATGACTTATTTGGTGTGACATCAGTAAATTTCGTGTATTTTTAATTTAACACCTTAGTAATCTCCACTGCAGAATTGCAGAAACAGTTTCTGTAAAAGCATTGAAATTAGACAAGTGTCTTCTTTCATAACAGTTTCAAAAGTACAAGGAACTTTTAGAAACCCATTATCTCAAAATTCTGTATATTTTTTAGTCCCAAAGGCTTATAGTTTGACTATGGTTCAGCACATTTGCATTACAGCAAATGTTGCAGATTAAATCACACTATTTTAGTTTCTATTTTCATATTTCTACACTTATGTTCAGGCTATAATCCTGTAAGGCCATGGTGGAAAGTACTTCCCAAGACTTCTAGGCAACAGCATGAAACCAAATGCTCATGCAATGAACTTGAAAATTTGTCTTAGACACTTCAGCTTTTGAATGCTTCCTGCTGCATTTTTACTTATTTCTAGCTCTAGCAGAAAAATCTTCCAAGCTCTCCAGAGAAGTGCTGTGACACTTAATCAAATCGCCTACCTTTCCTTTTCTAGGTTCCCGGTTACACCTGTAATGAAGACAGAGTCCTGACTTTCAGACACTCCTGTAAATTACTTCTTGTGCAACTGAATTTGGACTGCCTGTTGTTGCTGGATTATGTGCAAAGTGTAGTATGTGCTAAAATGTTTCTTTTTTTTCTGACAATTTTGACAACACCTAATGTTGCATAGCTTTGGAATACATAAATTGTGGAAAAACTTGACTACAGAGAAACAGGAAAATTAAATGCTGGTAATCTATAATAACTATTGTGTCACCTTTTTCTTTCCTATTAGCATCTAAAAACTTTGGCACAAGCTAATTTTTGCAAGAGGAGGTACCATATCTCTAGAGAAAATGTTTGTACACACATACACACATATATAAACTCAAAAATCCAATCAAAAGTAATCATATCAATGTCTACGGCAAGCCTATAGCCATTCAAATAAAACAGTATTGCATGTCACTAACAACTGTCAGTGCTTACAGATATTTTTCTTGCATTGCACTACTTATATGCTCTTTTTTTTTTCTGGATTTTTTGCAGCACTGACTGTTACTATTACAGGAAAATGTTTCTGAGACACGAAGTAATTGAATTGGTTTGGATTTCAATATAAAAAATTTAAAATAGTTAAAATTAGGCAAGTTTGAAATGTTTAGCTGGATCACAGCTGTAATTTTCTGTGACTCACAAAGTACAGATGCTAGAAAAGAAGGAAAATACAGGAAGAAGTGCAGTCTAACTAGAAAGCATGGGTGAACTGAAAGGCTTACCTCAAGCTAATGATTTTTTAGAGCATATGCATTTGTGTACTGTCACAAATCAAAACCTGACCTCTCAAGTAGATGCTCATTAACTTTCATTGCTGTGCCATGAATACATTCATAGGTGCTTCTCAACTTGGTGTTAAAATGGCTGGGAGAGCAAAAACTGCTGTATGCCTCTTCAGTCAGCCTCTATCCTTTGCCAGGTATATTTGTGCTGGTTTGGGTTCCTTACTCTATGGAATATATTTGCCTAGTCAGGACTGTCCTACAGGCCCTGATATTATTGGGAAGGAAAGAAAGTAAAAGAAGGGCAACCAAACATGAAAATGAGGTACTGAGTCTTACTTACTGAGAGCTTGGCATAACATTTTTTTACTGAGGTCTTACTGGAGCTCTTGAAAACCTGTACCTTCAAAGACCACACCACCTCACGGCTTAATAGAATTAAATTTTACTCTCTCTCTGCTTTCAATGAAGTATTTTGGAAGTTCTCCAACTATTAAAGTTCAGTGATGAATCTTTTTAAAATTACAAATTAAACTAATAAATTAGTAATCCTAACTGCATGGGAAAAAAACCCAGCCACCTCTGTCTTCAATTGTCATATTGTAATCACAGCTCCTAAGATAATTTCTGTTATATGGCATAATAAGACCATTAGGAGATTTATTGTGTTCCTATGATCAGATCAGGACAGAGCAGCTGTTACAACATAGCTTCACTCCAAAATTAATTAGCTTCTTACTATATATGCTTTACTGTATGGAAAACAGAAGATGCTGATAGCTCAAATAACAATAGCTCAAATAACAGGTGTAAAATCAGTGGCTTTCTTTTTGGTTGATATTCAATCAGGAAAGACTCTGGAGTCACCTTTTGTTATTATAAAGTGGTTGTATTGTATCTTTTCTTGAGATTCTTCATTTCACTATACATTTGGGGTTTTTCTATACTCTAAAGCAAATCAACAACCAGGGGATTTATTAGTTAGATTCATAGAATGATAGCATGGTTTTGGTTGGAAAGCACCCATGGGTAGGGACATATTTCACTAGATCATGTCGTGAAACCTGACCTTGAACAATTCCAATGATAGGGCATCCACAACTTCTCTGGGAAACCTGTAACAGTGTCTTATCACACTCATAGTAAAAAATTTCTTCCTTATGTCCAATCTAAATCTACCTTCTTTCAGTTTAAAACCATTGCCCCCTTTCCTAACACTACAATCCTTGGTAAAACATCTCTTTCCATTTTTGTTATAAGGTTTCTTTATATACTGAATGGCCACAATAAGGTCCACTGGAGCCCTTTCTTCTCCTGGATGAACAACCCCAATTCTCTCAACCTTTCCTCACAGGAGAGGTGTTCCATCCCTCTGATCATTTTTGTGGCACTCCTCTGGACCCACTCCAACAGATCCATGTCTTTTCTGTACTGCAGGCCCCAGAGCTGAACACAGGACTCCATGTGGGGTCTCATGAGAGCAGAGTAGAGGGGCAGAATTACCTCTCTCAACCTGCTGGTCACGCTGCTTTTGATGCAGCCCAGGATATGGTTGATTTTCTGGGCTGTGAGTGCACATTGCCAGCTCATGTCCAATTTTTTATCCACCTCTGTCCCCAGGTCCTTATCTGCGGGGCTGCTCTCAATTCATTCATCCCCCGGTCTGTACTGATATTGAGGATTGCCCCAATCCAGGTGCAGGTCCTTGCACTTGACCTTGTTGAACTTCATGATGTTCTCATGGGCGCGCTGCTCAAGCCTGTCAGGGTTCCTGTGGATGGCAACCCTTCCCTCAAGCAGATCAACTGGATGACTCAGCTCCTTGACACCATTTTACCTTACATCACAGAAGGCCAAAATTTCATCCCAGACTAAGGTCTGTGGCAGTTTTAGAGGGCCAGAATCCAAAAAAGCCACATCTAGGAGGAAGCACAAATGTCCAAGGAGTCAGCTATAATATTCCTGAGCAGGTGTCCAAGATTTATGTGCCTCCCATCCCCACAGGGAAATCACATTGCTATGGCTCAATTTGTCTGTCTGTACTGTAGGCTCTTTAAGGCAGGAATATATCTTACCACATGTCTAGAGTTTGACTAGGGTCACTCTGAGAGGTGGTGAAGCTCTAAACCCAGAGCTCATGCAAGAGAAAACAGAGTTCACACAGTCTTTTCAAGCACTGGGTGCAGAGCCCCACCAGCACCAAAATTGGGTTTTTTCTTCAGCTCATGAATCAAGAACATGCTAAACCAAACAGCATGGGGCCCTAGTTTGGCTTTGAGCCTGTATGTGCTCCTTTAGTATAAATTTTAAAAAGACTAATGTAAGATGTAGACAGAAGCATGAACTGGGCTTTTTTTCCTAAAGCTTATTTCAGTGGTTTAGAAACACTGTTCCTAAAACAGTGTCACGGGAGAAGAAGCACCATATTTCCCTTCACCCCCTGCACTCCAACACTGCAGATAAACACTTAAACAGTCATCTGAAAAATAAACCAAATATTAAATATAATTGCATTGCTGCCATGTGAGGGCTAATATTTGTCAGAACTTTTTTCTAGAATGCAATCTTAGGTTCAATCCAAATGTTGAAACCGGTTTTTCAAAGGTACTGTTAGCATTTTTTCTAATTTAAAACACTTTATTCCACCACTCTGAAGTGTTACCGAACAATAAAAATCTTTCACCAAAAATCACAGAAACAATGTCACAGACATCTTTGAAACTGCAGATTAGCTTAAGGTAGGAGCAGATCAGAAATTCAAGATTGTATGAATTTTATTCTAACTTAGAGTTCAGGGTCCACCTTTAAAAAGAAGAATGATCCGGAGTCCTGATTTATTTCTTTTCACTGGCTCAGAGATGTTAAGTCAAAGCATAATGTTTGCTCATGCAACTACATGGAATCTGTCTATGAAGAATATGTGACATTTTATTTGTTACTGTGCAAACAGGCACGAGGCAAAATGTCTTCATTCAGTGTTAGCATGATGGCATTGTGAAACAGCATTGCAGTTGTCTCAGAAGTGGGTTTGCAGTGACCTCTGTAGGACAGACCTGAGACAGGGTCCATTCATGCTCCACATTCACTTCTGGAAAGTCATTATCATGTTGGACACAGCTGCAGCTTCTCCAGCCTAATCATGGTGCAGATCTCCTGCCTACCCATACCAGGATGAAAACCTCCTGATCTTCAGCCCATGATACCCTGAGTGCTTGAAAACTCTGCTAAGGCAGTGTGGTAGAGACCTCCCCACTAGTTCCTGGAGTGTTTAGACGTGTAAGTACCAGTTGTGACTACACTAAGGTGTCTGAAGAATAATTTCAGTGAAACTACTCGTTGTTCTGTTTCAAGGTTTACAGCATGCAGAGATCCCCTGGTAACAAGTCTCTGTCTCAGCTATTGCAGGGAGATATAACCACCAACCACACAACATTCAATTCAGTCTGCCTATTGGGATTATTTCCTTATTAAATATGCTGCAAGACAGGGACAGTTTGTGCAGGATAAAGAATATTTTGATCTCTGGCCTCTTGAGCATTTTTGACAGAGCAACAGATTTTAGGAGAGCAAATTTCAGCTCGCTCAGAGCTCAGTTGGGAGGGATTCCATGGGAAGCTTCCATGGAGGATAAAGGAGTTAGTGAGTGTTGGAAGTTTTTCAGAAATACTCATGGAAGCACAAAAACAGTTCATCCCCTTTAAAGGTAAGGGAAGTAGGCAGAGCAAGAGACCCCTCTGGCTTAACTGTGATCTTCTGAGTCTGCTCAAAACCAAAAGAGAAGCATAACAGAGTTGGAAAAGCGGACAAATACCCATTGAGAGCTACAAGGGCATTGCCAGGGTGTGCAGAGGTATGGTTAGGAAAGGAAATGCTCAGTTTAAATTTAAATTGGCCAGAGATGTCAAAAAGGGTTCTTCAGGTATGTAAATGACAAGCAGAAACAGAAGGAAAATATTGGCCCATTGTTAAACAGGAGAGGTGAATTATTCACTAACAACGCTGAAAAGGCATTGGTTCTCAACACTTTCTTCAGCTCTGTCTTTACCAGCACTATTGAGCCCCAGGCCCTGGGAACAAAAATCCAGGTCGATGCAAACACAGGCCCACTGTCAATGAAGGCAGAGTTGTTATGTGAACTATTACAGGAGCCTGACCCCTATGAATCAATGGGCCCTGATGTTGTCTACCCAGGGGTGTTAAGAGAGCTGGCTGATGTCATTGTGATGCCACCCTCCATAACCTCTGAAAAGTTGTGGAGATCATGAGATGTCCCAGAAGACTGGAAAAAGGCTAATGTCACCCCCACCTACAAGAAGGACTTAAAGGAGGATCTAGAAAATTATAGGCCCATCAGTCTTACTTCAGTCCCTGGGAAAGTTATGGAACAAATCTTCCTGGGGCCTGTCACAAGTCAAACAAAACACATGATTGGGGAAATCCAGCACAGATTCTCCAACAGCAAGTCATGCTTGACAAACCTGACCAC